GGGATACCGGAGACTCCAAGAGACATGGTACCGACAGAGCTCGGAAGATGTCTTGAGATGGTAATCGAGAGAAATATTACCGATGAAAACGAATTTCAACGCTTGATTTCAGCATCGATCGTCGCAGACGAGTCATCGAGCCGTGAATAACACGCTTCGTTCTCGCGAAGAATCGTGACGAAAGATTGTAAACACGAAGGATCCACCGAGGAAACTACCGGCAAGCCACAGGTTTGTGGAGCTCTATCTAAGAAATTCGTTGATTGGCGAGCGCGATGTAGTCCGTACGGATGTCATTCCCAATATCCAGTGAGCAGTCGCATATCCGAGTTTCGGATAAAGAAGAAGTGGGCGGCGTTTCAGAGGCTTCCCATTGCTCAGCCGATCTGAAAGCGTTTCGCTCATAAATCACCGGCGAGCAAGCGAGCAGCGTGATTCAGTGATACGTGTGCTGTTTGTTTCCATGCGGTGATATTCAGATATACGGCGCAACTTTGTCGCGTTTCTCGAACTTTTCACTCGCATAGCGCAATGCCTGGAACGGGCGTAACTGACAGATAATTGATACATCCTGTTTATCTCTAGACTAGAAGGCTCACGTCTGCCCTATTAGTGTTACTTGTCATCCTGTACTTTCAATGGATGGCGTATCGCTCAGCTCCTATCCCCAGACTCATTGTTGACTAATCTGAGCTGCCTCAGATCGATCAACCCGCCGTGCCGCCGCGTTGCGGAGTCGAATTGAATTCATCATAAAAAGAGCCTTCAGAGCTTCCAATCATCATTCATTATTTTTCATCACTACTCATGACGTGGCTCGCTTCGGTCTCGATCGTGCAATCGGTTCCAACGAATCAGGATTAACGAATGTTTGAAAGCGGTGCGAGAACTGTTTATATGTACATACCTCGTTCGTTCACTCGCGGGTTCGCTGTCGAGCTTTCAATTGAAATGTTCGAAGAAAGTCTAGATCGAAGATATCATTTCGGATCAGCACCCACTCAGTTTTCGGTGCGAGCTGGGACGACATGATCGCGACCTGAGAAGATGGGATTCAGATTCTAGATAGAGGGGAATATCGACAAGACCGCGAGACGCGCACCGCTGATCATCGAGGCTTATCTTGAACATGTGAGATTTGTCTCGCTTGATGTAATCGAGGATTTTCTGCTCCATCACGAACACACGTTTGTTAGCGCGCATCTGACGTCTTATGGAATTCTGAGCTTGACGGGTGTTTAATCTAGATTCCGGCGAGCGAAAGTTGTTGTCCAGATTCGTATTCGCCCGACGCCGATTGCAAAACCTCGACGATATAAGACTTCGGGTCCGCTTCACAGACATCACAATCACCATCGCCGCATGTACAATGAACACCTTCGTGAGTTTCGACGCTTCAGTGACAAGCGCTCGCTTCGACCGCCGCTTCTCTGCAGCCTCCGATAGAATAGCCGATAGCTCACTTAGATCTCAGAACTCGAGAGCTATAAACCAATCCGAATTCAATAGCAATACGATACTCTGAAGCCTTACGATGCGCTGAAAATCCACAGAGCGATAATCCTTTCTCCTCAATTCTTTCCGGTCCTCAGGTTCCCGTAGCTTTATGTTTCGTGGCGGCCGCACACGCCGGAGTCATTTCTTCGGAGGCTTCGGGATGGAATGCACAAGCCTCTAACGGCTGGGAGTCGGCCCCTGCATCGGCATCGGCCGGTTGGGAAGCTCCTTCGCCCTCCGCTGGTTGGGCTCAAGCTTCAGCTCAATCTTCCGGCTGGGAAGCCCCGTCTGCATCGGAAGGTTGGGAAGCTCCCGCCTCATCTGGCTGGCAGCCCTCCGCTCCAGCTTCCGCTGGCTGGGAAGCTCCCTCCGGATGGGCTCCTGCCCCTCAGGCTGAACCTGAGAAGAAAATCATCATTCTCAAACAGCAAGCTAAACACGGAAACGTCGGCGGATCCCTCACTGTTGCCGGACCCACCCATGTGATCAAAACCATCCACCAAGTCAGGACTCTTGATCACGGAGGAGAGATCCTCCACAAGTCCGCCGCTCCGATGGCAAAAATTCTCGTGGTGAAATCCGTCAAACCCGCTCAAGTTAGCCACGGTGTCGAGGGCTGGCCCCATGGTGTCGCTGCCTCGGCTGGATGGCATTAGATCCGAGCTCCGAGTACTTGCTCCAGTCTTCATCATGCACTGCAGAACCCTGTACATAGCATTGACGTTCATCATCGTTTCCTAATAAAACTCCGGGAATCTCATGACGGGGCGATCATTAGCGGTGATAGTGCCCCATACAAATCAATTCCTAAATGTAATTTCGGATGAGCACATGACCCTTCAATCCGATATTCCCGACGACTCGGCTGAATCGACAGATTTTTTCATTACTTCAGTTCCCTTTTTAAATTCACGGACCTTGAAGAGATCATATCGAACACGTGCATCGAGTTCCGGAATAATTTCACCCTATCCGTGTGTAACAGCTCAGGAGGAATGATTCGGAAAGCGATGCATTGAATCATTTTAAATCTGCATGAAAACCAGGATTTCACGTCTTTCTGGAAGCTGATTTATATCGACCACTTGAGGCACCGCACGAAATCCGTTATGGGATGAAAGCACAACTAATTCAAATGAAACTGCCGTTCACGCACATTCCATGATTGTTGAAGGTAATTACAAATCTCCTCCATATTGAGAAGAAACACTTCCTCGACCGCAATCTTCCATGCAGCTACCAAAGCTACGAGGGGCGAGCGCTCCATCGGTGTTTTTCTAGAAATTCCGCCCCGGGTCTCACCGATATCATATCTGAGGAGGGAGCAACCCGCGTCCTGAAAGGATGGTCCTGATCCATACCCACGATCGTGATTGATCTGCGGTCTCCAATCAACAGTAGAGGGTATCGTGAGCCTCTCCGCGCATCTCAACCGTAGGGAGCTTATCCGAAGCCTGGGTTATGCTTATTATTTCGTATTTTGTCGAACTGTGAAGTTCGAGGACGGCAACATCACGCGACCGCGCTGACCCCAGTAGGGGTCATTGATTTTTTCACGATGGCAGAAGACGAACAAATTTGGTGAATGGTTTCGGCTTCCACTGGGATCGAACAGCTCTAAGAGATGCCGATCGGATCTCGACCAGCGAACACTGCGGTTTTCTGATTTATTTGTTTTGACGTGAAAGAGCGCCGTTTTTCGACGGCGGACCGAAAATTATGACTTGCGGCCCACAGTCCTTCGGTAGGCGCTGCGAAGATTGGAAGAAGTACATACAAGATAAGAGTTACAAGACTTAAATCGTCTCTGCTCCAGTGGGTATCGCTCGGGATCATTTCGTGCCCGAATCAGAAGAATGGTAGAACGGTGTCGCCTAGCCTTCCAGGGACACGAATCCTTCGACGCATCACGCTTGATCACAGCAAAAGACCTTATAAACGATTAATTCACACCTGCTGCCATCAATCTCCTGCGGTTAGACGTTTTATGAGCTTTCCGAGGTATCTGAAACTTCGCTATGGGCCTCTCTTGCTATCTATGAATGGTGTCGCGTCCCTCATCGGTGGAAGAAACGCGTCTCCACCAGAGCGGAGAGAACGGGGCCTGGTACAGAGTGAAGACGCGGAGCTTGTCTGGGCATCAAACCATGAGCAAAGACCAGCTCGTCCTTCTCCGATGATCAATATCGAGGAATATTTGCAGGATAATCCCTCTGGAAGACGGGTGTCAGATTGAATTTTCTTTCGGGCCATATTCGAGCGCCGCAGGGGTCCGCGGGACATTTTGAAAAATTCACTCCACTATAGTATGAGCGAGAAGCACATTGACATGATCGGAATACAAGCCTACCGATCATGGATGACTTCTATTTGACTCTCCGGGCATCGGGGGAAAACCCTTCAATCTGTCTTATAGAGGAGCCCGTTCCACCGATCTCATCGAATTTCCCAGCTCTCATTCGCGATGCTCAGCTTCGCGTATGTGAAGAGATGGTGGCGGGGCAAAAGAGAGGACCTCCTCGCGGGCCACGAACTTGACACCCCTGCTCTAGAACTCCGAGAGGTAGCTGAATGGCTGAATATAGATTCTTCTCTGAGCAACATGATCTCGGACAAATCAGAGGTTCCAGCGGCCCGCCTCCGGAACAGACGCGTTCGAGCGGATTGATCGCGTTCATCTGACCTGAGCCGGTGGATTCCCCCAAGCATTTCGTAGGAATGGAAGCATGCGCAAGCCGAGAGCGAGATCAGCCTCCTGGCTAGCACGAGCACACTCAATCCCAAGCTGGTTCTGCATTTGAATCAGGTTCATGTGCTCATCTACAAAAGATCTGTATTGACGATATCTCCGAGCGTGACTCATTTAATCTACGCCCGCAGAGATTTCTCGGGATTGGCCGTTATATGTTCCTCGGAAGCAAAATAGGCTACCGTTCGGGCTAGATATTGAAGCGTCTCCCGAATATCGAAGCTCCCGACGGGCACCGGCAGGGCTTCGCGTGCATCAGTAGGGCGCTCAGCTCGTGAAGCTCGCGATGCAAACCAGAGGCTGTCTAAAGCCTGAGCCACCTGTTTCGAGTGGGAAGTCGAGAGCAGGACCCGTGTCGGTAAATCATCTTCGTGGTCAAGACGATCTGATGAGACTTTCTCAAGAACAATGGTATCGATTCTGACATTGACAGGGGATCCTTCACCACCAGTCAGCGATTATTATACTATCGAAGCCTCGGGGATTACGATCGATCTGATGAGTGATGCGTTCGATCAGATCCGAACACAACAGTAGCTCCGGGTCATCTTCAGTGTTCATCAACATGATCATCATGAACCCGTGAACCGTCAGTAATGCCGAAACAATTACTCTGCCCAGTGCTCAATCGCGTTGCTGGCGCCCCGAGGTCATTTCGAACGACCTTGCCATGGTGGTCAGTCCTCCCCCTGACACTCTTCTCCCTCCCAGGACGTACAAATATAAGCACTGCTAACATTGACCAATTCATCGAAACTTATCGTCCAACATGAAGATCTTCGTAAGTATCGCAACAGCAATTCCTCCTCCCGAGCGCAAAAGAGGACTCCACCTGAACAAGCGATAACGGATTTCATTGGTACAGGTCGTCATCGCTCTTTGCGTCGCCGTCGCCAACGCCGGGTTCTCCGGAGGCTCGTCGGGAGGTTGGCAGCAAGAGCAACAATCTTCTGGATGGGAACAACAACAGTCCTCCGGATGGCAGCAGCAGCAGCAACCCCAGCAGGAGCAGAAGATCATCATCATTAAGCAACAGGGAGGTCATGGTGGAAGCTCCGGAGGATCCCTCACCGTTGCTGGTCCCACTCACGTGATCAAGACCATCCACCAGGTCCGCACCATCGACCAAGGAGGAAAGATCCTTTCCAAGAGCGGTGGTGGCTCCGGACAACAAGCTAAGGTCCTCGTCGTGAAGGAAGTCAAGACCGCCACGATCCAGCACGCTCCCAAGCAGCAGAACAACGGCTGGGCTCCCCAGCAGCAGAACAATGGCTGGGCTTCTCAGCAACAGAACAGCGGATGGTAAAAAGGATTTACCGTACTCGTGTACACACGGTGTAAATAAACTAGTTCAACTTCTTGAAGATCTCGGTATCTCCCCATAATCTCCACGGTCACTCCCCGCGTGGGTGAACGATGTCGATAAGTAACTCGATCGAGTGCCTTGTGAACGGAATACCCATCGAGCGGGACAGAACTCTGACTCCTCGCCTTTCATTCATTCGAGAAAATTTCGGATCGGCCGGCTGATGAATCGGATAGTTCCGTCATATCGGAAACTCTTGGAGCGGGAGAAATCAGCTCGATGCGGTGGAGAATCTGACGTCCGCAACCCCCCGTTCGCTTAGATAGATGCGTGCTCGAAATAATAGCTTGCGTGAAGTGGCTATGGAGCGATCGCTAGACTGTACCCCTCCCTCGCGACTTCCCTTGCTTAAATGTTTATGGAAGACTCTGGTATCGATTGCCCGAGTCTCCTAAAACTTCTGACGCGCTGGACGAAAAAACACGAGATTTTGCCGCACCCGCCATCTGTTGGATCGTCTGTCGAGCGTGACTCACTGGGGAACTTGAATATTATCACTTGACCCTTTCCCCATCGAAAACGATAACAGTGAATGTACATTGATTTTATTAGTAGACTTTGACACTTGACTTGTCCCGGGGTATTTACAACAGAGTGAGTCTTCCTCCCCACGTTTCTTGTCGCTTCCGTTCTCATCAACTGGGGATACGGCAGGGTATCTCACCGATCCGCTGCCTCGACCCAGCTCCGCCAATATTTAGTTCATTTCTCATAAATAGCGTAGCTCCTGCGGTAGCTCCTCCTTATCGATCTCCTTCACTAGCAAGGCAAACACGCTCGCAGCCACTGTAACGGATTTCATTTCGCTCAGTAGCTGTGCCGATAATGAAGAATAACAGCTCAAGCTCAGGTCACTACGGAGACTTTTCGCTTTGATTGCTAGCTCCGACCTGTGGGGTTCTCACGCCGCGAACGATACTCACTTCTTGCAATGAAAGTTTCACGAATCCATTCTGAAGTGGGTCTTTCTTCTCGAACGAGCCTTGGAGGGAAGGAGAATCGGTTATTTCGAGGGAGGTGGATTGTGTGAAAAACTCTAATGCCCGTCGGGGAGCGATGATCCGACTCTGATTCAGGGGCGCGCACAGGATTTTTTTTGGGGGGGCAGCTAGAGTTTTGAAGGGGGCCAGACGACCATGAATTAATGATGACGCGCCTTCTCGGGGTCCATACTTTAGCATTGAAACCGAAGAAATTTGGTTGGGGGCATGGCCCCCTTGGCCCCCCCCCCTGTGCGCGCCTCTGCTCTGATTCCATCCTGTTTCATCGAACCCGACGGCTCATCTCCGGCATGTAGAAAGGGCTGCTGACGATTATCTTACCGAAAGCAGCAGCCAGATGTAGGACGCAAGCCACGAAGTCGCCGAATCGCAGGGTGCCGTCTTTTCGCATGTACCGTAACACCAGCAGCGAGAGCACGTCGGCATTGAGTTTGAAGCCTGGGGATACAAAGCCTCGGTTGAGGCATATGTTTCATAAATCTAGGGACAGCTCTTAAGCAAAGACCTCTGGTCCGCGACAGCGTCGACTTACCGATATCTTCAAGCGACTCCTTCAGACGGTCTGCCCTCAGGACACCCACCGTTCCCTTAGTATACGCTTTGAACACGGTCTGCCACCATTTCAAGGAACATATGAATTGTTTATAATCCTGGAAACGGAGGCGACCGAGTCCTGTGTTGTCCATAGCCAGCACGACCTGACGACACACTTCCATGGTGGCACAGCTTTTCACATAATCTACAAGGTAATCAATTGATCAGTGTGGGACTCCTCCTCGTTCGAGAAGCTTCTCCCTGATCTCCGCGGAGCAGCAGATTCAAATTACAATCCGCTATAATGATCCTGTCATCGACCGAAGATACGTTAGCATGACAGAAACAGGAATCCTTCTTGGTTCACTGACCGTTTGGCAGGCAGGTCTCGAGGATTTCTTGAAGGTCAAAAGCATTAACACATTTGTGTTCGTCTGCCATCTGCAGGAAGACCTGCTCGTATGTTGCCAACGATGACTCCATTTGCGGCTGAATCTTTTTAAATGGCGATCTTGTGCAGCTCACCGGATATTCTATATATCTGAAGGGACCCAGGACTCGCATTAGTCTCGCTGCTTTCGGAATTCCTCGTGTTTCAATCTGATTAATCTCCGAAATCGTCTTACTTGAGCTTGGTGGGCTTCTCAGAGAAAACTCTGAGCGTGAAGAGTGCTTCTTCACCGGGTTCAAATGTTGTGGGAATTATCACATAATGTCCCTGTTCCAGAGGGCAGCGGACACACACCTAGAAGTCCATCAAAAGCCAGCGACTATGAGATTACGATCGTCACAGAGACAGGACGAAATAATTAGCGGAGTGATTCGCCACCGAAAAGCTGCATTCTGACAGCTGACCTGTTTGTAATTTGAGTAATGCGAGCTGAGGAGCGATTTCACTTCTTTGAAGTAAGCTTTCGCGAGAGGTTCTTGAACCGTCTTCTGGCAATGGTACACCGTGAATCCGATAACCTGGAATCGAGTGCAATATCATGAAAGATCAACCTTCGGGTGCTGCATTTCGATCGGCGTTGGGATTATAGATGGGTAGAGTCTAAGGATATTGGGGCGTACGAGGAAGAGGAGGAGGGAAAGGGAATGAGGGGGTCTGAGGCTGCTGGAAATCTGCAATCTCGGAGGCTTGACCTAATCACCTTTGGCTCGATGACGGCGTCTTGGCACAATGAAATCACTACGCTTTCGCTGTCCTGAACCGACAGCATGATCTGTGGATTCATGTGAAATGTATCCGTGTTATTCCGACATCCTCCGCCGCTGACACCTCGCTGCCAGCGTTCCTTCGCAAGTTTAACCTAGGAGAACAAGAGTTTTTCATTCGTCAGTCTTGGCGCTCGAATGCCGAGCCCTTCACAATGTCGACTATAGTTCTCTCAAAACTCGCGATTAATTATAAATGACCCCCGGATGAGTCCGTTGTGTGAGCACAAGAAGAATGAGATCGCCTGGAAGTTTTATATAGCGGATTGATTCCGCCCGAATGAGCGCTGTCCCGGAGATCGTCCTCACCTGCCAAGGGATCCTGCCCTTCAATGATGGCTCATCTCGGGAGGTTTCAGCGTCGAGATGGACGACTTCGAATGTGGTGAACGAAGTAGACACTTCTTCGAACGTCATGTAGAACTCGCCATCGGCTAACATTTTGCCACCGAGCGCCCGATGCTGATCGTCTTTCGGAAGCTTTTCGAACTCATGGCAATTCTTCACGAACGCTGATGCTACTGGGGACCTCATCCGAACGAGCCGGATCTGATCGCCTCTCGAAGTCACCATCTCGCAGTATTGAGAAATCCGGTAGTTGACACCGACGGAAATTCCATTAGGTAATCGGTCGTTTGGCGCTTGTTTCGGTGCCGTCTGCAACATTGAGATAAGCTGAGAATGTGCGTTCGAATCTCAGGTTTTTCTGACACGATGTTCGGACCCAAGGATCCCGCTATCCGAATGAATCCGGAATCGGGGAGCTTGCGGTAGCTTACCCCATTCGTGACTGGTGGCACTACCAAGGCTGTGACTATACTGGTACGCGTGAGCAAATAGTTCAGGGTAGAAGATAATTCGATCGTCAATCCTTCCGTTACACCTCCGGTCAGATCCGATAAACCGTCCATTGAGTTCCCATACTTCAGAGCTTCATACGATCCGTACATCCTGTGGAAAACAAAGCCAGCTTTAGTTTTTGGGCTGCTTATCCCGGAAAGACAGGTGTGGGCGACGAGTTCTCAACGCTCCGTATATTCACGCGAATCGACCATTTGGGTTGATAGGAGGCGCCTCCCAGGAGGTGCACCCCATGGGATGAAACTGCGGAGCATCCACTCCGATTTCGGGACTTCAAATGAGATGCATTGTCTGCGCCAATCGTGTTCTGGGCAAAAAAATGCCGTGCTCTGTCCTCTACGTTAGAGTTACCCATATGTATTAGAATTCCCCTCTCTCTCGGAGCACATTCGATTTTTTCGACGCATTCCGGATATAGTGGTCAGCTGGGTCGCTCCGAAGCTGATCTGATACGACTTTAGAGTCCGTATGCATTCATTTCCTCGAGTTTCCACGCCTCGACTCGGTCTTAAGCGTACGGTGTATCAACGTGAGATTCGGGCTCCAATAGGTTGTCGGGGAATTGCGTTAGAAGAGCCGCCCCCGGTGTAGGCGTTGTCATCGTTGACTAATATTCAGTCGGAGTCACAAAGCGCGCGCGAAGGCGTCGTCGTTGTCTTCAAAAAACATGCAGACGGATAGATTTGAAAACGAACGACCATCAGAGGGTCAGTCGCGAAGGCGTCGGGGAAGCATGCGTCTTGCGTGGAGGAGAACGCCGTCGCGCCGGCCGCCGTCGGTGGCTCAGGGGTTATTCAGTGAATGGAAACGACCGCCGCGAGCCAATTCTCGGTAGTTCAGTTAATAGAAACCCAGCGGTTGCCCGGAGTGAATAACGGTCCTGAGTCGCTACCCAGACCTGAGTTCCTAAAATGATTCAAATCGTTTTTGAATGGCTCGATATCGAAATTTGGCGTTTTCTTCATCGTCGTTCATCTGGAGCTGCGTCGCCCAGTTCTCGCAGAGAATTAACTTCCGACAGACTCTCCCCATTGCTTTGGCTGGAATACACCGCAGAGACTCGGGGACCGCGTCTGCACAGCAAGAAGAGCAATATTTCCCAATCCACACCCACATTCCTAGTCCTGAATCTGCTTGCTGCCGAATCCACGCGTCTTTGACGTTCTGGCCGCAGGAAGCTTGGATTTTTCAAAAGAGCCATGGTTTCACCAGTTATTCGGGCCAACAGCAAGATGACCGGATCGGAACTGAACCCAATGACGGAGGGTTCTCGGCAAGAGAGAAGTTCTCGGATCCATTCGTGCGTGTTGGCTCGTTGTCTCTATTAGCCTGACTCCTCATCTCGGATTTGCTTAAGCTCATCATTCGGGAAGGATGCACCCGAGTGCATCCAGAGACGACTGGTGATTGCATGCGGAAATCAATATATTCATGCATGGCTCCCTTTTGAGGACCTTGCGAATCGGGGAGTTTCGGAAGCCTTCAGGCTCCACGTGTGCGGGAGTGTTGGGAGCGTGGATTTCCGGAAGTAATAATTCGGACATCTCAAGTTCTTAATTGCTTTCCACACGGAAAATGCGTGGACCGTCGATGGGATTCGCGCGCAATCAGATTGCCTCATTAGTAAAAAAAAGTCCGCGAACTTTTCGCCTTTCTACAGGGTGAATTGCGAGTCGCGGTGAATGCGCGATAGCGCTCTTCCCAGGCGAAAGCATTGGGAACAGATCGGGAGGGGAGGGGAGTCGATAGAGCGTATCACGGGAATCTTTTAGTATTCTCTCGCGTAGCTTGTTGACTGGTCCGCGTCTTTATCTATCGACAACAGGCGATGTTTGTTTGTCTTCTCATCGCATCATTCTCGATTGTCTGTCTGTAAGAAGCACCTGATTGCCGCTTGTATCGAAAATTTTGCGTTGCGCAAACCCTTCGCAACTTCCACAAAAAAACATCGGAGAGCTAGACCTGATTTCATCAGCTTGATGGGTTGAGAGTTCTACGTCGAATGATATGCTTGTAGGAGACGAAACTGTATGGGGGACTCACTTTGCATATGCTTTCTCAAGCAAGGCTGGCCAGAAATGATTCTCTGAGTTTGATCCATGACTATGGATGAAGACGAGTTTGCCGTTGAACGTGGGGAGACGATCGTCGATCAATACTTCTTTCCAGTCTCCGGCCCACCATATCCGGAAACGGAATATTCCGCAGTACTCGTCCTCTTCTGTGAAGCCTTGGTCCGCAGGAACGACTCGATAGAAGAGAGCCCTGGAAACAGGAGGAAATCTCTCAATCTTTCGACCTGTAAGTGAGTCTTTGCCGAATTACGGCATCCTGACGCAGAGTGGAGGCACTTACCGACACGTGGCCAAGATGCCGAGGCAGGACACGAGCCATTTATCCCCCAGTTTCCCCGGAGTTAAGTCGAACAGAGACGGTCCATCTACGACGAATTCTGGATTCGAGCATATTTCCTGAGGAAGAGAAAGCAGGCTGGGAACGGAGAGACCTGACTGCTCGAAATGGCTTCCAGGCAATAATTCGGTTTCGCGGCAGTCGCTACAGTGATGCGAATGGCTGGCATTTTCAGTGTCGTCCAGTGGTGGCCAGTGTTTGGGGACCACGCAAGTGATCCGGATGACCCACAAAACTCCGACCACGTAATGCACGATGGTGTAATACGCAATTCGAATGCTTGCGTTATTCTGGGGATTTTATTTCTCTCTACGAAAACAGTCCGGTCCGTACTAATAATGAAGTGAATGGATAATCGGATTCGAGCAGACGGGTCTGTTTCGAGATTCTCCCTTTCTGTTTTGAATTGTTCCTGCTCTTGTGAACTTACGTGCGGTCGCTTCCAGGAAAACTGAAACGGCGGAGTCTGATGATAGAACACCGTGCTCTGTACCGCCGGGAACTCCGGGTCCTCGTAGAGCTTGCCCCTCTCGAGGTTCTTGCGAACACGCTCGAAATCAGACATGGATCCGTCGGGTTCTGAAGCGCCGAGGTTCGCGAGAGCCGATCTTTTCTTCAAGGATGACCCGTTCACCACCGAGGCACGAATCGTCCCCGTTCGACTCTGAAACAAGCATAGAACGTTAAGGACCAGGTCTTTCGCGGGCGCAGGGCCCAGTACAACGGAAGTTTCTCACGGCGAGAGCGGGTCTAGGGAGTGACAGGAGAGCATGCCACCAACCAAGGAGATCGAAAGCGCCTAAGCGGAGAATTATTAAGAGACGCTCGGTCACATGTCATCCGTCCAATTACGATCCATGAATGTCGACCACGAGCTATCCGGTTCGGCAGGTGCATCTTCGAAGCAAAAGTTGGCTTATCGGCCGGGACAGGGCCACCGCTTTCGACATCGAGGACTGCGACTGCTACAAGGATAATCCCTAGACGTGACCAGCATCAGACCAGCGCCCTCCGTGAAGTGGAATATTTTTGCTGTCCCTGCATTCCAAGGCGACCTCACAGATCCCGATCGAAGGAGTTCCACGGCGCTGCAACTGTCATATATAATTTCTGATATCGCTTCTGTTCGGAAATGAATCTCCGACGGGATATTCACGATGAGTCGAGAATCGTTCCCGGAATGGGCGGGATCGCTCAGCAGTCTCGTCTAGCGAATGATAGACTATAAGCATGTCGTTCGATTGGAGTCAACAGCGGAAATGACATCTCTCCTCGGACCAGCGATCCCGCCAAGGCTCACGGTATGGGTTCCGATTCAATCGGAGCCCAGCCAGCTGTCAAATGAGTGAACTGTGATTTTCGTTATATCCCATAACTCAATTAGTGGTCGATGCTCCTCCCACTGAAGCTTGCATCAAAGAGCGATCCGGGAGCGGTAATTTTGCGAACTATTTCCGTACCAGGAAATCGATATACGGAGACCATGGCAGACGCTTGCCCACGGTGGCCCCGGGGTAACTCAATCGGCGGGACCCACCAAGAAATACCAGATGCTTCTATCAACAATGGTTTCGCGAACCGACAACTTTTTCACCGGATCCGACGCTGAATGACGGACGGGCGCACGTACGTCAGAATGGAAAACTGCTGGACTCGCTCGGCGCTGCCGGCTAGGAAAATGACGTTTCACCTCAGTAGATAGGCGTTGTTCCATGACGAAGTACCTGATTTGTCGACCTTCCCGAAGTTGAAGTCATTGCAATCTTTGCTTTCTAGCTCGCCCAGCGGCTTCCTGCTCGATCGCTCCACGCTTCGAGGGAGAGTCCCCGGACAAAGTATATTCTGGCGATTTTTGTCAACACCGCCGGATGATCAGCTGACTGCGGCCAGCGGATGTTCGATCGAGGGCAAACAGACCGACATCACACTTCACACTTCGATTAATCACTCATTGAGCCCTTGATGGGCGGCAACAACAAACATATCTTTGAGGATCCACAGAGCTCTGGAAGAAAACGGGCCGCATCACACATGGACTGCGTCGTCTCCTTGAGGAGGTGTGTCCGCGAATGGGACACCGGATCTTCAGTCGCTCACTCGGAGCGTAAGGCGTCTGGAGGAGTCAGTCGCTCAGGTACTACACACGAGATCCACGAGAAAGAGACGGTGTTTCGAAGAGCAAGACACGCTTAGAGCCATCTCAGCCCTCCGCGCTGGGAGTCCAGCGGCGAGCGAATCCGTTTGCTAACAATGCTCCAAGTTCACGAGGCGACGCGCTGTCAGTGGTCCTTTACGAGATTCGCGGCTTTGATAAAGGCCGTAAAGCAGTCAAAGAGCTTGTCGTGTATCGTCATAATCGACAACGATGGCCAGAGTCACGAAGCAAGATCACCTCTTTAGCACTTTTTTGCCGCCCTCATTGACTTCATAGACGGTTAGCGCGTCTGGGACTTCTGGTGCAAAACGTGCATCGCTCAGATTCCGTTTGAGTCGTCGGAGTCTGTCTAAATCACTGACGTCAGATCTCGTGTTAGGATCCCGAGGCAAAGGAGCTTCGACTGCTCGTGGAAAGCACCGAAGAGCTCACTCCGCTTTCTCCGTCCTGATCAGTCTGGAAGCACCGCGGCGCCACCATCATAGTCAGAAGGACTCATTTTTAAATTATTCGAACTTGCTCCTCATGCCCGAGAGATGGAGAGGTCCACTTAGTGTTCTTCTGTATTCCGTGACTTCTAATATTTTCTTATTTTCACACATCTCGTCCGACGACTCTTTTTTCCTCAACTAGACGCCGACTGTCCATCGCTGAATGACGTGAGCGAGACAATTCAGCTCTATAGCTAGATAATTAAGAATGTATTTCTCAGAGAATTTCGTTGCGTTCTTCTCGATCCGACGGCCCACTTTCCCTCGGCAATTCTTCGGGATAAACGTCAGCTGAGACTTCAGTGTCCAGGAGCCAGCCGGCAACCGACATGACGTCTGAGCACAGCTCGAATGGTATTCGGTTCTTCACGACGCAATGTTGTCTAAAAACCACCGTTCTGTTTCCAACATGGGTAAACAGAGACCTAATTCCCCTGGTTTGATTAGCCTCGATAATCGCGGCTCAATCCTGTCGGGCAATTGTCGTACCTGCTTCAACTGAATCACGGTCTCTTTCCCGCCAGAACGAACCATCCTGCGGGGATGCACAGATTGAGGTTTGCACTGAATTCCTCAAACTTCAACTGAGCACTTCAGTCCGGAGCGCGCGGCACCACGATCACAGGATTCACGAGCTCTCAATCGGGAATCACTCGCGCTGCCGTAGCGATTAGCGAAAGATGCTTGCATCCGTCCGATGGAATGGACTTGTCGAAAACGCGTGGATGAAATTCGCGATGGTGCGGTGGCGGGGGAAGATCGGACGGACGCTCCTCGCCCGGTCATTAGACCATCGTGACGTCCCGATGACGACGTAACTACTAGTGGTCGGTGGCGACAAACCAGCACGACAGTATTGACACATCGAATTTGGAAGATTTTCTTTTCGTATCTGGGGAAGCCGTCAACGCTTCACTTAACAGACGCGTCCGACTCACGCGTACAACACCAGAACTAATATGGCTCGGAGCTTTGTCAAACAATAATGCTTCCGTTAGCTGCTGTCGTTCGAATCTGATGTCCAAACTCCCCGGGACCCCTCGATCGGAGACCTTTGCTCCTTGCAGGTCTCCATGAAGTGAAACATGGAGCGAAACTCTTCCTTTACCGCCTGAAAGAAAGGCGTCCAAGCCGACGTGGGAGACCTTGGGGAGAGCTCAGAGGAGGGACGAGGAGGGACGAGGAGACGGACCTGCATCGAAAGACCGTTCTGATCGATCGACAATTTATCGAATAAGCGCCAGCGGTTCAGTCGATTTGAAGAGCGAGCACTTCGCTTGTAGGTGACTATCACATATCATATTCGGTACCGTCCTCGTGGAATGAGCTCGGGAGAGGTCCCGGGCATTCACCCGTGAGTCGTCTCCACCTTGTCGTCGATGACAAATCATCGGAACATGAGAGATGGGCGGACTCTTAGAGGATGGAGCTTGAACGAGGAGAGCTCAATGCCGGAAGTGCCTTCAGCTCAAGAATGGATGTCATCAGACGTCAAGGGAGTCGTTTCGCATTCCACGAGATTCGGTCTGCTTCAGACGGTCGGGCTGGAGGAGTATCGATTCTTTCGGATATCCCTATATCGTGTCGATCAAGGGGGAGCGAGCGGGACGATCAATGAGAGCGTCACGCAAATCGTCCGCATTGTCAAGTACCTCGTTTTTTATCTCTGGCCAGAGAGGCTTCAAATTCGAGACGAGGGCTCGCTCGCTTCCATCGATACTCAGGACAGATTCCCCAGTCGAACCGCCCAATTTTTGCTCTGAAAGCTCGAGATTATCAGGGAGTCATCGCGTACCGTCCGAATCGCTCGTGATAAAGCGCGCCGAGCTTGAGAATTTCGTCATGGCCCCCAATGACTACCTTTGGGCGATAAGTGAATACAAGCCGAGCGGAAAACGCCATAAATACGAAAGTAGTCATCCTGTTCCATTAGTGATGGGCTCTGCGAGTTTTTACTTGTCCCAGGGATCGCATCCGTTCGATGAGGGGCGGATGAAGAATGAATTGATTGTCATGAGGAAATCGCGCTCATTTACATCTGGAATGGAGCTCGCGGATCATCCGGTCGGTCGATATACCAGATGAAAAGCAATCGGCCAAGACGACGCGGAGCACTCTTCAAAATGCTCCGGTCGCGAGCAATAACTCCAGGTAGAACTGAAGTAGTTGTCTCGATGGGAGCTCGTTCGGCATTCCATTCGGAGACGGAACAGCTCGGGTTCCCTCCTAATATGCCGGCGCCCGGTTTGGATTCAACTACGGTTTCTCCAGGATCGGCTCGTACCCCGTAAAATCCCAGCCTGGTGAGCGACGTCATGATTCGAGATTCGCTTCTCGATTATATATCGACCATGTCCCGACGTGATATATGGCACCGAAAGGCTTTAAATATGTCTCTGTCTAAGTTTACACCGAAACGACGACGGATCGTCGAGAAAGGCAGTGATTTTATGGATTCCAATGGAATAGAGACTTGCAGTTTCGCATTACGCAGAGTCTCGATGTCATCATAACTAAGCAAAATCAGGGTGTTCGTTGACGCTCTTAATTACATGCGGCTCACCAAGAAAGGTTTTTGACAGCCGGGCTCATCTCCACGACGACAGTGCCAACACAGCTGAAAGAATAGATCCTAGTGGAAGACACCCTTGACACAGGTCTTTCTGGCACTGGAACTTCGTAATGGCTCTCTCTGAGCCCCTCCGAATCACTGAACACTCGGACTTAGCCCCCTACTTCAGGTGGCCGTGTGTTGAAACCTGTTCAAAACAAACATGGCAAGCAGGGGAGTCAGGGAGTGCTTCTGATTCTGGCATGCGCCGTGACCCGCCGTCGATGGAGGCTCCAGCGGCGCTGCGGCGACAGTGGGACGTAAGTGAAGCTCGATGCTCCGGGAGTGGGGTACCCCGCTCAGTTGCAGGAGTGAGACCGAATGTAAAAGATATCTGAGTCGATCTTCATGACCGGTTCAGAACCTCGAAGTCCACGTTTTATGACATGGATTGAATCATCTGAGGTGTGCCAGGGCTCTCATACCGATTTATCAGGCAGCGCTCCGCCGTACCCTTTCTAAAGCGCGAACCAGTTCCGAAGTTAGCGCTCGCAGAGAGGGAAGAGCCGTTTTCTTTCTTGCCTCGGAGCCGCTGTTCCAAAAGTATTCTCGCCGAACAACGAGGGTTCTATCGTCAAAAAGTTTGATATTTCTGAAACTCTGACGCTCCGCCAGAAAGACTTCGGTGATGGCGCCGAAGAACGGCGCGCCTAAGTAAGCGAGAGGATGCGGCAAAAACGAGAGAAGAACGGCCGGAGGTTGACGGACAAGAAGGCGATGCAATAAAAAAGCTGTCGGAATCTTGTCAGTCGATCGACTGCAGTCCGATTGGAAATACGGCCAGTATCTGGGGTTTGCATGAAGTCAGCTTCATTGAATCGTTCTCGAGTAGATCAGACGCAAGAAGAAATATACATTGATATTTTTAGCTGGCTCCTTTCATATCCCATAACTCTGATTGTCAATGGTCACGTTCTAACCATAATCTGTCAGGATCGGAACGATAACTGATCTGCTCATGGATCGATCTGCCCACGAACAATGACTATCTGCATCGTCGAGCAGGCAAGCGGGACTCAATATATCGGTGAATGTCACTCAATCGTCGTACTGATTCTGGTTCTCTCACAACTGCTCAGGGTGGCGTTACTAATAATGAACTATAATTCCAACTCGAATTCGATTCTCCGCTTGATTGTCAGGTCGGGCATGTTGAACGATTATTCGGCTATCCTGGGAAATCCTTCATCATGGGGTCGTGCCTGTAGCGAAAAATCTCTGTGTCCAATATGAGACGCGCTCAGGAAAGGAATGGAGCCAGGTGCGATGCTTTTATTGAAGGGAAACAATGTTTTGGGCAGAATAATTCATGGAACCAGCACTTCATCGACTAAGCGATCACTTCTACGAAATCAACAGAATCACTAACACCCTCACACACTCCAGACAATGTGTCTTCAATGAGACAGACTCTCGTCGGAGGAACTGGCGGGGAACTCCGTCAACGTCCAACGATTGCGGCGGCGGTGGCAGCAGGAGCGTTTTCTGCGTGTACCGAAAATTCTCTTCAGAAGGTCAAGGTGGTTTCCACCTTGATTCCGATTTGATTCGACTCGAACGCTTTCGGGTCAACAGCTCTCGGCGATCGTTTCGGGACAGGGAAAATTTGTGCCTCGCTCCATCGAATGGTAAGAACAGCAACCCCGCGTCTCAGATCCTCGAAATGTTCATAGATTTGGGAGTTGGTCGCGCCTTAAGCGAAGTCGTATTGGGGATAATTCTCCGCAGCTCATCTTCGTTTCATTCTGGTGGCCAGAATTGCATCGAAACACTCGTGCGATTCCGCTGTGTATGCCGGGAAGTTCTCGGGGAAGTTGTAAAAATCCGGATCCTCGAGCCCCAATCGTGAGGAGCAGTTTATCAAGAGCAAGCGCTATCTCCGTATCGAATCTGCTACAATTGATGCAGTGCTCGACCCGAGATGAGATGCCTCTTCGATCTTCGACATTTATGTAGATGACGATGACATCTTTGAGAGCCGCTACA